ACAAAATGCTGGGGTTCCACTCTGAAGTTGATTCAGAGTTTTCCAATTCCAAGTGCATATTTTGAGCCCACACTCTCCCCCTCCCATCCTTGACCCAAAGTGCCACCCCCAGCCCCCCGGTGGCTCAGGCAACAGAGAAATCTGGGCAACAAGGACAATGTCATAGCACATGCAGTTTGTAGAAGGTAGAGAAACGCTAGCAAGTATCCTCTCCCACCATTTCAAAAAGTGCCTTTTCTTGCATTATCTGTTATCATCACTAGGGGGTGGCATTATGTCCCAAAGCCTGCTTTCTCTAGAATGGCCAATCAGAACCAACTCCAGTCCAAATAAGTTGGACTACTTTCACAAACCTAATTTTGCTATCAATTGACTAGAAGGGACCTTTGCTCAGTGGCAGAGTACATACATGCCTTGCATCTAGAAGGAGGTTGGGTCCCTGGTATCTCCAATTTAAGGGTCTCAAGTTGGTAAACCTGAGAAAGGCCTCCTGGAGATCCAAACCAGCAAAGAACAGACCATACTGAGCTTGATCGGTCAATCACCAAGTCAGAAGGAGGCTGCTTCTTCCATATTTAAACTGCTTTGGTTCTAAGCTCAGGGGCTCTGTTTTCTATCTCAAGTGGCTGACATTTCAAAAGGCAAATCAGTGCCTTGTAGTCTCTTCCCATTTAAGAGGACAATGCAGGGAGATATGTCATGTTGCTGTGTGAACAAGAAACACAAAGAATCAGAAAAATGTTGTTTCTGGAGATGTCTAACATTTCAAATATTTAGGCGAACTTATTTTCCTTTTATCCTTTTAAAAAGCTCACACACACATTTTCACACTCACTTTCCTGATTCACAGACCAAGAACACACAAAATGGAACACAACTTGGATTCCGGCAGGCAAGAAAGTGTCTCTTTGCAAAGCAAGGTTGCCGCCGAAAACACAAGACCAAAGGATCGTCCATCAATTGACTTCCAAGACCTCTGTTTCTGGCAGGCCAAACTTCGTCTTGTACTTGTCAAAAAGTTTAATCAGAGAGCTCACGTAGAGGCTGTGATAAAAGTCTACTTCCTTCTGGCTTGGATTTTCGATTCTGGGAATGGTGATGGGTTCCCCAACTAAAAGGAAAAAGAAAGGAGCAAAGTAAGACAAATGTTCGGCGAGGTACAGCCCCATAACCTAAACTATCTTTCCTCTAACTGGTGTCTCTCAGATGTGCTGGATGACAACCCACTCTCCCATATCCATAGCTCACTGGCTGGGAATCATAGTCAAAGACATCTAGATGGTCAAAAGACATTAGTATTCAAGGGAAGTCCCTCCCCATTAGTGGACTCTACAGCCAGTTTGAAGATGCCACAAGATGTTCTATTGTTTTTGCATTAAGTGATCCCAGTCTAAAGTAGTGGCTGTGCTTAGATCAGCCCTGGTGGCACAGTGATTAAAATGCCTGTGCTGCAGCCACTCACTCATAAACCACAAGGTTGTGAGTTCAATAACAGCCAGGGCTGAGGCTCGACTCAGGCCTGCATCCTTCCAAGGTCGCTAAAATGAGTACCCAGCTGTTGGGGGGCAATCAGCTCACAGCTGTAAACCCCATAGTGTGGTATGACACCCCATAGTGTGGTATGAAGCGGTATATAAATGAAGCTGCTTACTGAACAAAAGAAGAACATCCATGTTTCAGACCTTGGAAAAATTGCCTTTTGGACTACAGCTCTCAGAATGCCCGAATCAGTCATAACATTTTTACATTTGCCCTGTCCACCAGCACCACTATGTACTCTAGTTACCATCTTATAATGTGCTGAAATCCTATACAGCAGAGGTGGGAATCATGCAGCCTATGGGCTGCCTGCAACCCTATGGGGAATCCAGTAAGACCCTTGGGACCCCCTCCCTAGACCACCACTCATATTTTTTTTTGGCTTCAGGGGAGTTTTAGCCAAATCCCCTACTCATTTGGGGCTGGATTATGCATTCCCAGCCATGGCACCCCAAAACAGCTTTACTTTTTCTTAAACAGTAAGAATGAAACTTCCCATCTGGTCTGATACAATAGCATCTGTTGCAGAGCATGGCCATCCTGATGTGCAGCATGTCATTTTTTTAAAGAGGTGAGCATTCTCTATTCAACTCTCTCTCTCTCTCTCTCACACACACACACACACATGCATAAGTGTTGGAGCTAAAAATCAGTTTCAAAAATTGTCCACACAAAACCTTGCTTCTGATCAAAATTCAAAATGATAATTTTAAAAACATATATACAAGTTATTAATTCATAAGTACACAAGGCCAATATTGGTCTTCGGACCAAGCCTCCAAGTTAGCCCAGGAAGGCTTACCAACAGTCGTAATGGGCTTGGAATATGGCACCAAGCCCCAGCTGGTGGAGGAGAAGAGGCCTCGTCCATGAAAGACGCAAGGAGCAAAGCCGACGTATTTCTGGAACTTCTTCTGAACCCATCTGCCCCAGGAGCCTTCTTCAAAGATCACCTGCTCATAGACCTCATTCTCGCCAAAGGAATACACAGGAACCAGATCTGCTCTGCAAAGTAGATACAATCCAGACATCAGAATCACTCCTTCCTTCCAGCATTGGCAGAGATTACGAAAGTTCCTTTTCTGGGATTACAGCTCCTAGCAGAAGAGAACATGCAAAGCTCCCTTTTACCAAGGCAGACTGTAGTTCCATCTGGCTCTACCAGGTACCAATCACTCTCTCTCCAAGTTTGAAGACAGGAGTCTTTCCCAGCCCTACCGGGAGACTCTGGGGATTGGACATGAAACCTTGTGCATGTACATCACATGCTCTGTCACTGAGCTACAGCCAGTGGCCATGTTGTCTAGCAGATGTTCTCTCAAAAAAGTCATTTTCTAAGCTCCTGAATCGGGGCGGATAACTGTGGGAGGCTAGGAGGCTGCATTAAGCTCCCTACAAGACCTTGAAGGGCCACACACATGCACACTACAACCCTTCTTCAAAACAAACCCTCCCATTTTTGACCCAGAATACCTTCTAAGGGATGTGGAGACATTTGTGTCTTGGTTTAGGCCCTTTCATGAGCATTTTAAGTCCAGAAGAGGCCTTAAAAAAAATCAAAACCTAGGAAATGAGCAGAATTCACATCTGGCTTATTTCTTGTTTTTTAAAAAAGGGTGTCTTAGCCCTAAAATGGTGTGTGTGTGTGTGTGTGTGTGTGTGTGAAAAATGTGATGAAAATGTTTCCATACTCTCTAGAGATCTTTTTAGGACAAAACAATTCAAGAAATATTTTTTACCCTTGTCGGGCACAAAAACAGCTTTGAGGGCCAAAGGGAGACCTTCCAACTCTAGGATTCTATGTTCCAGTGTGGACACCAGCCACCAGTTTTTCAGTATAAAACACACTGACTAGAAGATGTAGCCATAACTGTGGCGCTACAAATTCACATTTGGCCAATAACCCAGCTGGACTCTAAGGGTTTCATAAGGAAGGCATTCTTCTCTCCTTACCCGTGTCGTAATGCCAGCTTCACAAAGCCCTTCCGGTTCTTCAGGGTGACAGAGTTCTTGCCTGGCATGCAGTTCAGGGACTCGGCTGCACCCCCCACCACAATCACAATGGCATTCCCAGTGCCGTTCTTGGAGAGAATGTAGTCTATGGTGTCACGGTTCACTGGGCAGATACCTGAGCATTTCAAAGGAAAGAGAACCTTTAGAACAATTTATTTATTGTTATTTGTGTCCCATCTTTCCTCTAGCATAGGATCCAAGGTGGCTTAGAAATGCTAAACAAGAAAAAGTTAAAAACTTAGTAATATAAAAAGGTTTTAAAACACCATTTAAAAAGTTATCATATCAAAATACCATGAAAGTCTTGAAATGCAAAACTTTTAAGTGTAACAATGAAGTTTTAAAATGCAGCACACAAACCTCCTAAGAATGACTCTCTGCAACCAATGAATCATGATATGTCTCTCTGTACAGAAAGGTCTTTGCTTGCCAGCAAAAGGAAAGCAGAGAGGCAGCCTGTCCATCCTTCTGTGGAAAGGAATCTCATAGGTGGGAGCAACCACCAAGGCGGCCCTATACTGTGTCCTCAAGAGAATGGCCTTTGATGGTGGTGGGACCAAGAGGATGTCCTACCTTATGCTGAGGAACTTAAGATTTGGGAAGGTTCAGACAGCAGGGCATGGTAAACAGTTCCTGTGGTCGGGGAAAGAGAAACACCTGCCCTTGGAAGAGGGACAGGAGTTGTGAGTAGAGATCCTGTACAACTTGATATGAAGTAGAATACAGATAAGGTCCTTTTTACTACACTTTTCAGAATCCCCAGCCAACATAGTTAATGAATGCTGGGAGTTAGATTTCCAACCTCCCTCAAAGGTCCTTTTTCCAAATTCTGCTTTCAAGCATTATTCTGTGCTCACTCCATACAGGTGTAAAGTCAGTTCTTAACAGGAGGTTATGAGACTGTAATGTCTGGCTTGGGAGAAACATCCTTGACATTAATTAATTTGGCAGCAAGAGAATGTTCAAGGGGCACCATTCCTTATGTTGTGCTACTCTGGGAACTGTTAAAGGTAGGCATAAGCTTATTACCTTTATATTATATCACACTATTTGGCATGTCAGCTGCTTATAAACTACTGATCACCATTTGACTCTTATTTTCATGTTGAGCTATTGCTTGTAGGGCCACCACACATGACAATTCCATTCCTTCTGAGATTTGGTTGTTGCCTTACACTTCTGTCTTTCAGGCCCCAGTTAAAAACATATCCAGCCATACAAACTTTCACGGAATAACACAAGCGATTCCTTTGTTGTTGACTGCTTTGGTTTGCATTCATTTTATGGAATTTTGGCAAATCTTTTAATTTGTGATATTAAATAACTGTAATTTTAGACATGTGCAGTTCCGAAATTTTTAGACTTGCAATTTAGACATTTTAAGTCATCAATTTTGACATTTCCCTGAGTTTTAAGGGCAGGATAGAAATCAAATTAATGGCTATCCTTGCAGCTTGGTATAGTGGTTTGAATATTGGACTATGACTTTGGAGACCAGGGTTCAAATCCCTGCTCTGCCATGGAAACTCATTGAGTGACCTTCAGCAAGTCAAAGTGCAAAGGCAGCCTTATAGCTGAAAACTTTTATAACAAAAATAATCTCTCCCTAGAAACCAAGATGACTAAACTGAGATTGCCATAATTTGGACATATAAACTGAGTCCCCCTTATCCAGAATTTCAAAATCCAAAATACTCCAAAACTTATTTCATGGGTGGCTGAGAAGGTGACACCTTTGCTTTCATGGTTTAGTGTAAACAAGCTTTATTTCCCACACTATTAAAAAATATTATGTAGAAACCTTCAGACTATGCGTATAAGGTGTACATGAAACATCAATGAATTTCATGTTTAGACTTGGGTTCCATATCCAGAATATTTTATTATGTATATGCAAATATTCCAAAATGCAAAAGACTTCTGGTCCCAGGCATTTTGGATAAGAGAGACTCAACCTGTATCATGAAACTTGATGACAGTTAACAACGAAGAAAGCAGTTACTTACTTGTGGAAAGCCCCTGCTGGCATTGAGGGGATTTCGAGTGAGCTAAGACCCGTTGGGTTAGGCTGGTGCACGTTGTTTTTTTAATCCTTACCTCCAGACATTAAGTAGTCCCTCAAAATGGGCATCCGGAAGTTTCCAGCTAATGTAGCAAGGTATGGTCGGATCCCAGGAAACTTCTGGCTCACACCTGTCGCCTCCGTGCTAAAATTGCAGAAGGCACCCAGTCCCATGATTCCATGTGGGTGGTAGCCAAAGATGTAATTCCTGTTGGTCAGCAGGTTGTGAGTTTTAACCAGCTGGGGAAAGAAGAAAGGGAATGCAAAAGTTTCTTTAAATGGAATAAAAAGTCCTTTTCCCTTTGTGTTATAAACAAAACACTGATCAACTGTAGACTAATCCATACACAACACAGTTGGCATTCCACATTTGTCATTTTGTTTTTTGTGGATGTGATGAATATGTTCTCTAGGAATCTCTAGGTCCTCTCCAGTGCAACTCTGCTGGAAATTGACCACAGAGTTGCCTCAAAGGACCTAGAGATTTCTAAAGCAAACACTTCTCTAGTCATTTGTAGGTCCTCCAATGTGATTCTATGGTCAACTTCTAGCAATGTTGACCAGAGTTGTGCTGGAGACCTGGAGATCTCTAGAGAAGCGTTCTCTCTGGTTCAAAACACAGTGGTTTTTTATCTGTAGTATTTCCACATTCACAGGGGCCCTGTGCCCCTAACCCTAGTGTGGAGAGCCCACTGTACATATTACCATAAAATATTACTGTTCTTCACTAGATCATATACTCGCCTGGAACCAACATACAGTTTTGCAGAGATTGCAGATTTAGAAATACCAATGCCAATAAAAGAACTTTACTGGTGAAATCTTACGTAAGCCACAAGTATATAAAATGAGGAGCAGAGGGTATTAAATGCTTTTCAGTAACATTGTTGAACAAAATATTATAAAAGAGGCATTTATTTATTGAATGCACCTTTTAACTGCCCACTTCTCAAAGTTCTTTGGTCTGTATACAAACTTGTTAAAATTACCCTGCTGAGGTGCTCTGCAGAACCTGAAAGCCTGCACAATCCTTTGCAACATTTTGGGGAGTCCTAATTAAAAAAAGATTATAATCCAATCATGGATTCTGGAGTTTTTACTGCTGGACTAAGTTTTTCTTATTTGTTTTTAACTTACAAGCCTGCACAGTGATCTTGATCTAAATTTGCTTTCTTGGATAACATTTTCCCAGCCTACCCACTGAGCCATCCATCCATTGGGCATGCTGGCTAGGAAATTCTTGAGTTTTGTAGTCCAAAAAAGGGAACAACTTTTTTCCAAATTCCAATTTCTATAATGGCCAGCGGTACTCATGTCAGTGGAAAAGAGAATTTGCTCTGAGTGTTAGTCAATCTTTAAAGGCACTACCTAGAGCAGGGGTTGGCAACCTACGGCCCGCGGGCTGCACCCAGCCCACCGAGGCCTTCCGACCGCCCCCTGCCCAGTCCTGCCACCGCTGCCGCATCGCGCGCAAGTGCCATTTTGGTGTCCAAAATGGGGCCCGTGCTTGTGCACGTATGCACACGAGGGCGAGCGCCATTTTGGAAGGAACTGACGGAGAAGGAGCTGGTGAGGAAGAGGAAGGGAAAAGCAGAGGAATTTTAGAGAGGAGAAGTATTTTATCAGACGAAGAAAGTGAGACATCAGAAAAAGAAGAAATAAGTAGAGAAGACTTAATAAAAACAACGGAGAGGGAAAACAAGAGTAAAACAAGAGGGAAAAAAAGAGTTGCTGAAGAGTAAAAATTAGAACAATATGAATTTTAAATGATATTAGGAAAGTATGTCTATAAAAGGAAAGTAGTGGAATAATATCAAATATTATATGTTTGGTGAAGGCAAAATATCTAACAATTAGATTTTGGAAAGTAATTAAAATTCAAGAAACCGATATTAAGGAAAATTAACGTGATAAAATGAAAATTTTAATTTTAAATGTGAACGGATTAAACTCACCTTTAAAAGGGAGAAAAATATTTCACTTTTTAGAAAAATTAAATTGTTCCATCTCATGTATACAGGAAACTCATATTAAAAAGACAGAGAAAAGACTAATTAGAAACGGGAAACTAGGAAATTTATTTATTTCAGCTAATAGGGAAAAAAAAGAAAGGAGTGGCTTTGTACATAAGAAAATCAATACAAGCAAAGGAGGCAATAAATGACCCCTCAGGACATTATATAGGAGTAACAATTACTTGGGAAGGTGAAGTAATTTTGATATTGGGTATCTATGGCCCACAAGATAACAAAGGAACATTCTTTCAAAAACTACATAAAGAAATTGAAGATTGTGAGTTCGACAAAATAATAATATTAGGGGATTTTAATGGGGTTATTGATTCTAAATTGGATAGAAAGTCAATAAGACAAGCGAAAACCCATCAAGGGAAACTTCCCACAAATTTTTTTGACTTAACAGAATCTTTG